TCTGGACAGGGTATCCATCTATTTGTAGATTTATCGTCTATAATTATCATCTTCGTAGGCTCTTTAGGTTCATGATTCTTGTATAACTTTTCCATTATGATTTTACTCTGTTGTTGATGGCATTTTCACTTGGTGATATTTCAACAGGAGCATCTCAAACAGAGTGATCTGTCCTTTGTCTTCCGACTGCAGGTTTGCTAGAAACATTTTTTTTTCCTGCTATATATGTCATGGCATCATGTCTTCATCAAACAAGTTCTTGAAAAGCTTACTTTTCTGTGTAGCTTTTTGAACGATTTATGAATATGGGTACTTTGGAGATGGACCACGAATCAATCCCAGTGGCTACTTATTGTTTCAGCAATGTGTTTTTTAATGATGCTGTCTGGGTTGCTAAATTTTAAACATTAGTCTACACCTCCTTGTATGAATCCAAGGAAACATTTCACATCTTCCAGCAATTTCCATTGGACATTGTCCATTTGGGGGACTAGCTATTGTCCGATATGTGCACCTCAGCCATTCAACTCCTCTTCTTTGTATGGTGCAAAGACTTCTTAAACCAGTGATGTCATTGTGTTCCGTATTTAGGACCAAGCTTGTCTTTTGTTGCAAAATTTGCTTTCTTATAATATGAAATACAAATCATTTTAGGAAATTAGGATTCTGTTCGCGAAGGACCATGTATTTAATTTGTGGATTTTTTTTTTTAGTAAATCTTGTAATTTGGTACAAGTACCGTCAGGAAGTCATCGGAATGAATGTCTTTCATTGCAGAAATCTGTGTTTATTTGTAAATAAATATTGCAACTCTTTCTTTTGCACACAGGTAGCTGATGCTTCAACTCTTTATGGGTGTTGTGTTTTGGTTGATGAAATGATACAAAAGCCATCAGGATTGATTTCGGCCGTTTCAGATGGGTTACCGTTGTACTCAGGTCTAAGTCGTTACACTTTAACCACACGCCGGTGTTATTGCATTCTTTCCAGGCTTCCATTCTTTGAGCTTCATTTTGGCGTGTTGAATAGGTAAATATGATTTCGCTACTATGTGGGATGCAATTATCTATTCCTGCAAATTTTGACAATTACTTCAGGCTCCATTCTATACTGTAACATGTTCTCACATGATGCAGCAGTTGAGTGTCTGTGTGTATATTGTTACGTACTGTATTATTCGTTATCAGTGCAATGACAAAATTCATATATCCATCTCCCAGTGGATGGATATAGGATGTCTGTAAGATTCTTGTGAATATTCGATTAAACTATAGGAGAAGAATAAACTATTATATTTTTCATAAACATTGCCAGAATCTTCTGATAGATTTTGGTTTATCCTTGAAATTGATGATTCCACTTCTCAAAATAAACATTTATTTCGCATAACGCTTTATTGAAAAAATTTGAAGATTGTATGTTCCATGTGAAGATTTAGTTGCTTGCCATACAAGCGATATTTGGACTTTTGTGTTTTACAATTACAATATCCACATGAATTTGTTTGTTTAGACTGCCCAAAAAGCAGATAAAATGCAACAATATTTTCTTAGCAATGCTCCTGCTTATGCATTATTTCACCTTTTGTATTTTGTAGCATCTTTATGGAGGAGAGGTTAGAACGATTAACGAAGCAGGTAAGTAGCTTGAATTTTGAGACTCCATTGAGCGATGATGTGTTCGAAACAGTTGATGAAGAAGCTGGTAGTTCTCCACTGGCGGATGGAGCAAACAGCCCAGAAAATGGGACAGCTGAAGCTTCTAAATCAAGCACAAGTGGATCTATCTCGGGTGTTACGGATTATGCATCTCAGGAGCATCAAAATATTAACCAAGACAGCTGCTCAAAGAATGAGTTTGGAAACAATGTTGCCCCACCTGATCCTGAAGTTAAGAAACTAGTTTCTTCGGAAGATCTTGTAATCAACTATTCTGTTAATGACAATGTTACCAAGAATCAGTCATCAGATAGGCGTTCACGAAGTGCTGCTTTACCACTTTTTTTACGGTATCAGCAATGTGAGAGCTCTGAGTCCTCTTCAAGGTAGATTCATCAATTGTGATTAGGGTCTTAAATTCCATTTTTTTTATTCTCCGTCTCTTGCAAATACCATAGTGCATAACATACATCTCCTTGGGGATATCATGCTAAATTGATTACCTTTTGTTGTGTGTGGCAGAATTCCATAGGCTTTTGTACTATTCTATTGTATAGATTTTGGGTTCACTTCATAGGGTTCGTATTACGCTAAAGTGGTTGATTTGTAATTTTGTACTATTATTAAGTCTTAACTTACAGTGCTAGCAGTTTGTCCATTGCAAATGGAGCTGGAAGAGTCATTGTTGACAATTCTCCTAGCATAGTGCTAATAATGGACTAGATCAAAATGGCTCAATTAAATTCTAGTGCTTCTTCTATTAGTGAAGTTTCTAGAAAAAAAAAAAATATATCAAACGGCGCAATGCACCTTGGGTCGCTACGGAAACAGCCTCCTTGTATAATTACAAGGGTAAGGTATGCGTACAACTGACCCCCCCACCTCCCCAGACCCCAACCTGTTGGGAATATACTGGGTATGTTGTTGTTGTTGTTGTTACAGTGCTAGCAGGAAACTTTCTGGAATATTGTGCAATTTTTGAAACTTGTATTTTGTTGTGAACCGTAAAGAGTGGGTTTGAAAACCACATGTTTCTTTTTGCTACGCCAAGATACCATTTTCCTTGCGGAATCATAGAATAATAGGTACCTTAATGTTTCACAATTTCTTATAATCAGTGTTAAGAAACACGTCATGATCTTTTTATGTAGTTATCAAGGCTCTTCAAGTGAAGATAGGCACCTCCAAAGTGATCTTGATAGTGCAGAAACAGAAGAGGCTTCGTCATCTGGTCGGGATAACTTGAGTGAGCAAAAGGATATCCTTGAGTGGGCCAAGGTTGAATTTCAAATCTAGATGTACTTCTACTTCCTGCCACTCAATCTACGTGGCCACTTTGAACCACCTGAATAAAAGGATGTGACTACCTTTTTACAGGCAAACAGCAAGGGATCCTTGCAAATAATTTGTGAATATTACCAATTATCTTGTCCTTCGCGCGGTTCAACAATCAAGTTTCACCCTCTGGACCACCTGCATCCTCTGCAATATCGTAGACCTGATGAGACAGTTTTAAACATTGGAGGTTCGAGGATTGATTTGAGATCTTGTAATGCAAGTTGGGAATTCGTGGAGGTATGGTTGAACTGTATTTTATTGTTTTTTCTCGCACATTTTACTTTTAAATCACATTTAACTTCTAGGCATTGGCCTAAGGCAATGGGGGAAATAGTTTTGCATAAGGTTGGCCACTGTCTATCCCCAAAACTTTTCCTACTCTATTAATTAACTGTTTGATGAGTGTGGTCAGTAATCTAAAGCCTCCTTAACATTGCAACTTTGTTTCTCATATAGGCCCACAGTGAACTCATGGTGGAGGAAGAGGCGGCTGCTTTGTCAGTATGGGCTATTGCCTGCCTGTGTGGTTCTCTACGATTGGAACATGTAAGTTCATCAGATGTTGGCAATCAACATTCTCCGTTTTCCACCTTGCGTATGTTACTCACACTCATGGACGAATGTTGTTATCTTTTACAGGTACTGACATTGTTTGCTGGGGCCCTACTGGAGAAACAGATTCTGATTGTTTGTTCGAATTTGGTAAGTGCAATATTTGTGATACTATTGAAGTCAGTATTGTCAGAATTTGATTTATCTTCAAGCTGAATGTTTCTTTGGCTTCGCATAATTGTTTCATTTGAAATTGATCTATTTGCCAACATATTTTTGAAAGCTCATAGATATTAGTATTTTCTAATGTTTGATCATTTGGATTTTCATTTTATGCACCATTGGATTCTAGAAATATACACCGATTTATTTTGTTGGTTTCTTGTGCAGGGTGTTTTGTCTGCTATTGTTCTGTCAGTTATCCCCTTGATCCGGCCTTATCATTGGCAGAGCTTATTGATGCCTGTAATTTCTTGTTCCGTTATTGGCTTTGTTGCTCGTGTTTTCGACAGGTCTGTTTCAGTACAGAGATTATATTTCAATGATATTTTGCAGGTTCTGCCGAATGACATGCTGGACTTTTTGGATGCACCTGTCCCTTACATAGTGAGTTTATACTATGTGTGTGTGTGTGTGTGTGTATTTCATGTGCTCTTAGTTTTCTTTAGACATAATTAACTCAGTTATGAGATTTTCTGTGGTAAGTTATGATTTGTGGTTCATGCTCTTATTCAGATTTTTTCTTGTGATTCTATTTTTCTTATTTGCGGCTATTCTTTGGAGCAGGTAGGTGTAAAAAACAAGACAACTGAAGTGCAGGCAAAGTTAACAAATGTCATTGTAGTGGATGCAAATAGGAACCAGGTAAAGTGTTATTTCCAGATTGGCTACTCCAGAAATAACAGGGTTGCTTCAATTGCATATGTTGTGTTGTTTAGAAAATATTATCTCACACGAACCCGCATAACCTGAAACCTGGATGTACCAAATTTCATTGAAAATTTTAGGGCATGCTGGTTTATTAAGTAATTTGCTCACATTTATATCATATTTAAAATCTAGCTCAACTTTAACTCAACCCCACTATCTTTAATATTATTTATATAATTAAATAATGTAAACCATTCATTCTTACACATCGCCATCAACTTTAATTCACTATTCATCCGCTCACATAATTTTAACTACCTATCATTTATAATCATTTATCTCCTACTTTTACATCAAATCAATAATAATTATTTTATTTTAAATATTATTTTAATACATTCTTAAAATCCCACTAACAACTGACTATACCACCTTTTTCAAAATTAACTCTGGTTAAAAAAAAAAATCATTTTGAACTGATTATTTGATAAACAAGTTCGCCCTTATTCAGTCTCTGAGCACGAAACCTGAAGCTGACTCGAAACCAATGACTGAATAGACCTAGTTGCCACCACTAAATTGACAATTAACATGTGTTTATGCTGTCAAGCTGTAGATTTGATACCAGCTACGTTAACCTGTTGTCATTTGCGGGTGTTTGTGGTCAACAGGTGAAATCACCAACAATACCTCAGCTGCCTCAACATAAAGAACTGTATTCATGTCTTAGCCCTTACCATGCAAAGCTGGTGGGAGAAAGTTATTTGGGCAAGAAAAGGCCAGTTTATGATTGTACTGACGTGCAGGTATATTAGTCTGCACTTTCTTGCCTGTCAGTTTCGACTTCAGGTTGTGTTTGTGTCTTTAATCAAATAGATTATGTTTTTTGTTAACAAAGAAACTTGCTGCTGCTATTTTTCTTCTTCTGTAAGAAGTAAACTGTTATTTAATAGACTTCTGTTGGTGCAATTTTTGACTCGTAACAAATTCAGGTTGAAGCTGCTAAAGGGTTCCTGGGTGTACTACGGTCTTACTTGGATTCTCTATGTTCCAACCTTCGTTCTCACACAATTACTAATGTTCAATCGAACGACGACAAGGTCTTTATATTTCTTGAGAATAAAAATAATTGTTTGTTACAGAACTTTGTTTCCATTTTCATTATCCTATTTGCAAAGCCTGTTATATTCGAGCATTGAAATGTGGTTAACCTACATATTGGTATAGTTAGTGATGCAGAATATACAATATTACTTTTTTCCAAGAAAAGGATATTTGGATTTTGAACACATTTAACCATTTTCTTCAGTATTACTAACTTTCAAACAAAATAATTACCAATGATTTTTGTATAGTTTGTTTATATAGATTTCTTACACAGGTCACATTGCATGCTACACCTTAGTTCATTCACACTTTATTCTTCCAAATTGATTACCAAATTAATCATCAACTGAATGTGCATCAACCCTCAGGTGTCATTGCTGCTTAAAGAGAGTTTCATAGAGTCGTTCCCTAGTCGGGACCGGCCTTTCATGAAGGTACACTTCTTTTTTTTTTTTTTGCTATTATTTAATATTTAAGGCAAGGACATTGGATTATTTTGCACAAAGAAGAACTTAAAAGTTGGCATGCCAAGTACATTTTTATCCTTATCATTTGCATGTATTTGGACAACAGCTTTTTGTGGACACGCAGCTCTTCTCTGTACATACGGATTTTGTGCTCTCTTTCTTCCAGAAGGAATAGTGCTATTCGGAAGGTGGATGGATGGCAAACATAAAAGACGGAACGCAAGTTCTGTAACCTACAAACTTAAACAGCACCAATAATTTGTTAGTGTAAGACTTCAAATGTTGTTTATGTTATATAGATTTGAAAATGGTGCCTCCTTTAATTTATCGTGTACCCATAGCCTTAGTCTTAGTCATATATCCTTCCACGATGGACTCGGATAAATTTGAAACACGTGAAACTTGTGCTGTGCAGCTCAACAGTTTTGAGATTGACGTGTTCTGACTGGTAAAGGGCAAGGAATGTATATTGTATTTAATGTGACATCATTACAATTTTTAATGATCGCTTTACCATGTTTGTGGCTTCTTATGGGTACAATTAGGTATTGCATTCTGGACAAAATGTGCCATTATGAATCAATGAGAATGGGACTTGGACATTAGAAATGGCCGTTTTATTCTTAAAAGTGATTGTGGATAAGATTAATAAAAATTATTGTGTTTCCCTAAATATAAAAATTATGTATTTTGGTTTGTTGTAGTGCTTTTTCTTCTGTTTCTTTTTAGCATAGTTATTAGTGTGACCTTGTTTGGTCTTAGAGGGTTGGATTTTAATCCTTCTCGTTACCTTTGGGTAGTGTAATCAGTTGATTACTCGTGTTTTTGAACATCTGATTTGAGTTTAATGAAAAAAAAAAAAATAGATTGAATG